ACTTACCATTTTGTTGAACTCCACTAAGGTTATGCTGGGTCAATCGTTTACCCAGCCGATTTCATTGACTCAGTGTAGGTCACATAACTAACGTGGTCAGTACAAAATATAAACAACTTTCTTTATCCTAACTTTACATACTGCAGTACAAATCTAAGTGATTTTAACACTAAAAAAAGTCAAAACTATATTTGTAATCTCTGACTTTATCTCAAGTTCTATATCAAATTATGATTAAGTTATCTTGTCGCTTTTAAAAACTGGTCACCTTTAGTTTGTTCTCTTCAAAAGCCCCTTCTCCCCCCCCCCCTTCTTTCAAGATCGGCCGTTGGGCAGACTTGATTTAGCTAGGTCACCAACATACGAGGATTGAAACGGGCTGCATACGGTCTCTTTTCTATTTCGTGGTAAGTAAAATTTGTTTTAACTGTATAATACTGACAATTTCACTACTTTCATACAATTTTCAATAAGGATACTGTGAAAATTTATTTTATAAATTAACATAATAGCGACGGATAATATGCATAACTTTTTTTTTATTCTCGTCGCACTGGATAAAGCAGATGTAGTGTGGTTGACATATTATTATTAGTAGTATATATTCGTCTTTGCTTTTACTCATAAGTTCTTAGGATTATATAATTTAAAGCAAACCTAAAAATTCCACCTTTCAAAGTTATCGTTTGATTCAGTCAACTCTAGTATTATGCTGAGTGGTGTGGTCGTTGACTCAGTATTAATCGTATAATTAGCAGGGTTAATACAGAACATAATTTTTTTCATAATAGAAATATACACCAACACAAACATTTAATCTTTCACATTTGTCATTTTATTCAGCTCCACTGAAAGTTATGCTTGGCCAGTTGTTTACCGCAGTGTAGTCGTCGGCCCTGTCACATAATTAAAACGCAGTCGCTTTGATACAAATAATTTTCTTTATCTTGACCATATTCTAATTTTGCTTCCACTCATGTTTATAGAATTTTAAACTCCAACACTCGTTAAAACACCTATAACACCGTAGATTTAAAATTGTCTGTTATATCTGACTTTCCTCAAATTCTATGCTAAATTATCATTCCCTTTTAAGAACTGGCCACCTTTGCTTTATTCCCTTTATAATCCCCCACTTTCAACTCTTGCCTTTGGACACACTTTCTTTTAGCAAGTTCACCATCAAACGCAAAAGTGGATTGAGACAGGCAGAATTAGACGATACACTATAGGTCATACATTAATAATAATAGGTTATGCTCTTGTTTTGTGAACATTTAGCTGGAACTTGCTACATGCTAAATATATTTGTATTTGCTTTATAATTTATACTAACTTAAATTTTTATACTTAAATAATTTAATATGAATTTTAGTTATTTGTGTATCAGCTAAATTAATATATAACATTAATTTTAAATAGTACTAAGTACATTGACCAAACATGATAAGCATGGTATATGAAACTTTACACGTGACGATTCTGCTACGGTATTTGGCAGTATTGTTGCGTCATCGAGATCACGTGACTATTCTCACGCCCTCTGCTTTCTAGAACTATCCCGTACTTTGGCGAATGCTCTAGCATTTACTAGATATAGGGTAGTCTGGTATATAAAAGATGGTGACAACGTGACAATAATGTAATATGTGTGTAGGTAGTGAGTAATTGAACTGCAGTCAGAAGTAT